TAACAGCAAAGACCAGAAGAACCTGAGAGAAGCATCATGAATAAATTGATCTTTATGTGTCTTTATGAGCTGTTTGTAATTTGTCATTTAAAAACTGAAGGGCTTATATTTCTTTTAAATTTGACCCTTGAGAAGCAGATTAATTCTACAGTAAACAAACACTTTTCAAATAAACTTTGTGTTTGGTAGATTATTTTTTTGTTGTAACAATGCTTCTTAGCTATAAGTCTTATACCGTTGGAAAGCCTGTTAATTTCTCTTTTAAATGGTGCCACATTTGTAAGGAACATGCATCTGTGGGATGAGCAGCAGAGCTGAGTATGTGGGTTGCGTTCAGGAAAAAAAAAGATAAAATCTTTTTTGCCAAACAGCTTATTTTTGCTGTTTTTGACTGTTTGGAGCTTCTGGTACCTCCAGGAGCTGCCAGTCAGGTGCTCGGTATAAGATTTATTGCCAAGAAGCATTGTTACAATAAATAATAATCAATCAAACACATATTTCTTTAATTTTTGTGTTTTATGTGCTTTTATTCCATTTTAAATTGTTTTAATGACTTTAAATGGATGATGCTTACATTACCTCCTAACTGGGTTATTGTAACTGTTGTTGTTAGGCCAGCCTCTCACGACTGCAGATACTCAGTCAGTTTTGTCATTCTGTTATTTTGTACCAGTGTAAATATTAAAACTGCTTAAAGCTTACAACACAGTGGGCAGATCTACATTAGGCCATATCTGTTCAGCATAAACAGCCTCTTTTTATTGTTTATCGTAGATAAGACAACTTGCACAACCCGTGGGTTTTTCTTCATGGGTGTTTAGGATCAGACAAGTTTAAACAAGGTCTCACTGCACCTCCTAACAAAAACATACTGCCATGGCTTTACAATGTCTGTTAAAATGGGCTTTCTTTGTAGTTTTCAATAGGTTTAACTCAAAAACRGTGTACTCTCTGACAGGCTGATTGTGACGAGGTTGAGATTCAMTGGAAACATCATGATTCATTTGTGATTTTAGGATCTGTTTTCATACCAGSTTGATTCATGGTTCCACTGTTACAGTAAATGGCTTAACAAACAAGCAATAAATAAATAAAATCCTCTGAAAATGTTCAAGTGCTGGACAGAAAATGAACAATAAAGCAGCCAAAATTCAAAGTAAATAAAACAAAAGCCTTCAAAAAGCTTAAAGGACTGATTAAAACAACACTAAAATAAATTCTGAAGACGAGAAGGATGACCTAAGAGTTTTGCACAGCACTGTAACCGTTTAATGCCAAGCATGTAGTTTTTTTTACATTTAAATATACTTTTTTTTTACTGTGATAGTGTACACATGCTATTTAAATAAAATAAAATAAAAAACTTATGACTTTCTACTTCTGCAACTTTTTCACATTTCCTTTAGAAAATAAAAAACAGTGTTTGACACAGACCACGTGATGCAGGTCATTTCCCCCCTTAATAACACTAAGTCGTATTTTTACACCTGCAACATCATGTTGTCTTTAGATGTAACTAAAACTAAAATATAAACAAACACTAGAGAAATCATCTGAAGGTAAAAGCCAAAACAAAAACAGTTCTGCTCATCAGTTCTCTACGATTCAAATGTAATGATCTGTTTCAAACAATGAAACGAAGACAAAGTCAGGGATTGAGATTACATCACATTACATTAATTGTTTTATTCTYGTGTTTTATGTTGAAAGTAGGAAACAGAGCTTTAATTTGAGAAATAAAACAGAACACCAAGCAGAGATCTGCAGTCTGAAGATGCGACAGAACAACGTCATTTTACGCTCTGTTTACCTTTTCACTAACACGCGCTGCCTATGAAATATTGACTGCTGTTGAGTGAACGTTAATTTATTCATCATACGGTTACAACAGTGGGTGTCACAAAGCTTTACACTCAGGAGGAATGCACCTGTGGATTAATTGTTTTATTATCACTCTTTTTTATTTTGTAAAATACAACAAATGATCCTCTCAGTCCTGCATCACACTCAGATTTATAAAGCTGAGTGATATTTTCTGCATTTTGTCCTCACAGTGAGACTTGATTTTGGTTTGTGCTGCAGGTAGACGTTTGATTCCTCAAAACCGTTCAGCAAAGAGTTAAAGAGCAGAAATGAGTCAMTGAAGCTCCAAACCTTTTATGCTCAAAGATGTCACGGCCAAAGATAGCTTTGTGTAGATGTTCGCTGCAAAATATGTCTTATTTATACGTCTCTCTGGTTGAATTTTAAAGAAGACTCGCTGGCCTCCTTCTTCTGAGTGCTGGCAAAGAGGCTCTACATAATTGAGGGCTAAGATGTTCAAGTTGGAAATATCAAGAGATCCGATTTATATTTTTGGATTAACTCAGTAAACTCAGTTACCTTTTTTCTGTTTTTTATTTTTTTTATTTTTATTCATTTATTTATTTTTTGTGACCCATAGAACTAAAAGCAAAGACAATCCTGCCGGGTTTCACGTCAGAATTTGAAACTGAGATCATTTTATGTTTTATGTTCGGTAAAGTCCGTTAGCTGTGGTGGCCATCTTGAATCTTGAAGTTGTAGTTTCACTTCTGGGATTATAAAAAAAATACTCCAGTGGTTCATCAGATATTTTGTGTACAGACAGATAGGGTTGACTTCAAAAGATAAAGCCAAAGTTAAAAAAAACAACAACTTTTGTGCAGTGTTTAGTGCTCAGAATATGTGTTGGGAGAACYCTCAGCTACTACCACACCAAATGTTAGTTCATTTTCATTAAACCTAAATGATTTATAGTCACTTCAAAAGCAATCAGTTGTGGAGATTCTTCCAGTGGCTGTATGAACAAGTTGTTCATTAAATATTTTTGCTAACACACACACACACACACACACACNGACCAAAGCACATCACTTCAAATTTTCTTATTGCCACAATATTTTACTAAATGTCGAATAAAATCAAAAATTAGATTTTTATATCGTTGAAGCTGTTAATCAAGATATAAAGTTAATATGTTACAAAGTTTATGCGATGATTGCAAAATGGAGAAAAAGAGTTTTTTAAGTGATTTATTGTTCATGGTATACATCAGACAGTTTGGGGCCTTTAAATCTGACCCACCCCCCCCCCCCCAAACGCACGCACACACGCACGCACGCACGCACACACACACACACACACACACACTGCCTTTTAAATGTATTTTTTCAGATTTGTATGGTTTGTTTGTAGCATTTAAAACATTTCCCAAAATTGTTTCTCATCAGAAGTTTTGTTTCAAACCAAGATTTCAAATTATTGTTAAGCAAAAATCACATTTGAGTTCAACATCTGTAAATACGAAATTATTTTACTAACTTTTAAATAAACACACACACACCCAAGCAAAACAGATGTTTGGAGTTTATTTGGTGGCATGAAGGATTAAATGAAACGTTTCATCCAGAAACCAATGGGTCCCCAGTTTGAGCTTTATTTTTTTTCTTTCTTTTAAATTTTTTAAAATTTGTTTTGATTCTGAACCAATTTGTTAAACTCTGACTAACTGCTGTGAGATCACTGTAGCTGAAACGTTAAACTGCAGAACATTACCTGCAAGTGGAAAAAGAAGCTGGTTTATTGAACATCATGGAGTCTACATACTGTAAACCAGCACATAAACACAACTTTTAAAAGTTGCCCAACTTGAAAACCTAAATGGGCCGATTAGTCACAGTTTGTGATAATAACCATCCGTTTCTAACTGCAGCACCACAAAGACGATATACGACTATAAATGCATTTTACAGCCYCGAACAACAGCT